GCCAAGGGTGTTGAAGGCCACAAGTCTTAAAAGTTGTCAAAGTTGGACGCCCCTGTTCTAGGTGAAAAGGTTCCCCTCACATATGTGCTAGTCGTTCCTGACTCTAGGGGGCAGAGCGCTGCTCGAAGACTTCTCCGTGGTCCTGAGGCTGACATGACTAAAGGATGAAGGCACACGGTTTGTTACCTTCCCACCAAAGATGGTTCCTATTTTTCCTACTTCCATTTTTACGTGCTTTCNTTAATGGAACTGTACTTTAAGATCACTCTTCATTTCTCAAATAAAAACGAAATATATTAGAACTCTCAATGCATAGCTCACTTTTGTAGGCCATTTAGAATACAAACAGTTCACCAGAATATTTTTATATTGCAGAAACTTGTTCCCGTGAGGAATAACTACAGAATACTTAGTTGTACTGTAACTTCCTGCAGTTAAAACAGTTTAACACTTCAGTACTTTTTTAAAAATGACTTTGACTTTGTCTTGTCTCCTGACAATTCCCAGCACAAGTTCATGACTGTATTTTCAAAGTGGTTTCTCATTGCCTTCTTCTTATTGCTGTGGTGGAATTAGTGATATACCTACCTATCCACCTCTAGACAACTCCACAGTACCAGCCCAATTTTGTTCAAGTGTGCTACATTTATATTTTAGTATTAAAGGAGTGTGGTGTAATGGGTTACTGTTAAGTGGGAAGGGAAAAGGCTATATGTTGGCTTAAATCTCTATCTTGTTAATATTAACTTAAGGATGTACTTAAGAAACCTGAATCATTATCTCTATTAGTTTGGTGGTTAGCACTTGATTTTATGTTTTACTGAACAGCTTATTTCTATTGTCAGAGTCTGTCAAAATAATGGGGTGAGAGATAGCAATACTCACATTTTTGTAATGTTAACACTTGCAAATGCAGCTAAGCAAGCAGTCATTCCTCTGTTAAGTTTGAAAACATTTAAAATGTCTCCATAAAAATAATAGAAATGCAACTAAGTCTACAAGCTTGACAGTATATTTAGTTTGGGAGAATATAATTTATAGCCAATTGAAGAATACTGATAAAAGATGAGGGTAGAGGTTCATTCTTTGAGCTTGTGGGTTAGTTTCCATTTTGTTACTAGGCTAGGTAACATCTTCAGCAGAGTTTAGAGGGGTGTCAGTGTTTTTCTGTTTATAAGGGCATCATGTGGTAAGTGCGTCTTATGATGGATCAGGTGTGAATGTGTCAAATGAGGGTCTTGTGATGGGTCTTGTGATGCATCAGGTGGGAGTCATCAGTGGGAGTCTTTTTATAGGTCTTGTGATGGGAAGGTTACATCAGGTGAAGGTCATTGGGAGGTGAAATGCTAGTGGAGGTGCTTGCACGGGTTGGTTGAGGGTCGATGGTGTCTCTGCTTAGCTGTGTGGTTGATTTGGGTTCTGAAGGGTTTGTAGGCTGGTTATAGGTCAATGTGTCTGTTGATGGAATTGCTTGTGGAGTGCTAGCATGAGCATGGTGGGTGGTAGCATGGCCAATGAATATTGTGTTGCTTCAATTGAACTGGTGCTGTTTGGTGTCAGTGTGAGTAAAGGATTTGTGATGATGATGTTTGATTGATGAAAGAATTAGCTTTTTGTCTTAAATGTTGGGCACCATGATCATGTCAGTTAGAAATGTCTGGGTTATTTTTGCCTATGCGCACTGTCAATCTTTTAAAAATTATTCCTTTTATAAAGATCCTGGAGCACTGGGGAACTGCCAGAGGACTGGAAAAGAGCTGATGTATTTCCCATCTTCAAAAAAGGAAAAAAAAATAGATCCAGGAAGTAGATACAGAGCTATTAGTCTGACTCAATACAAGGGAAGATTCTGGAAAAGATAATCAAGCAACGAATCAGCGAACACTTACTAAGAAGCAAACAAAGTAATAACTGAAAGACTTTTGGTAGACTACTCTCCTTTGCGTAAGGAATTTTTCCCCTTTTAAAAGTTAAGAAAGAGTTAAAAAGCAAAAAATTTCATATGCAAAGGAGGCACTGATTCTCCCGCCTCCTGATCTGGGCACAGCGAATCATGTCTTGCACTTGAGCGACTGTGCAATCGAGGGTGATTCTGGAGAAGTTGTGCTGGGCCGCCAGACACCATTTCTTCAGCAGCAATTTCTTCTCTGCCCAGCATTTTCTACTGGGCGGCTTGGCGCTTTGCTGCAGACTGGATCTTGGTGGCTCCCGCAATGCAATGCCATGCCGGGCACTTTGCATCGTGGGAGCCACCAAGCACTGACATTCCCGCTCCCCCGGCCTGCAGCCATCCCAGCACCGTGCTGGGCTGGCTGCAGGCCAGGGCAGTGGGCAGTGGGCAGGTGGCGGTGGGGCACTTTGCATCACGGCAACTTCATTGGCCACTGCTGCCACTTCCTCCGCTGCCACCGCTTTCCCCTCTGCCCTGGCCGCGACTTATGAGACCCTGTTGTCCCGGAGAGCCTGCCGACGCTTGAGCGGGGAGGAGGAGGAGGAGAGTGGTGAGTCCTTGTGCTGGCCTGCCAGCCAGGCGGGGAGCAGGTCTGGCAGGGGGTGGGTGGGCTGGCTGGCTAGGGAGGGGGATTATGGCCGCTCAGGTGGCCCCCACTGCCAGCAACTTGGGTGTCCCGGCACTGTCCGAGCTGAAGAAAGCGGAGGATTGTTCGTCGGAGGAGGCGGGGGGGCAAGGCAGTGGAACGCGACGGCGGCGAGGAGCAGCTTGGATGGAGCCGGGACACTGCCAGCAGCTTGGGTGTCCTGGCTCCGTCCAAGCTGCTTTTTTCTGCCGTTGCGCTCCACCGCCTTGCCCCCCCCGCCTCCTCTGACGAACAATCCTCTGCTTTCTTCAGCTCGTACGGTGCCAGGACACCCAAGCTGCTGTTGGCAGCGGCAGGGGCCACCTGAGCAGCCATGATCCCCCTCCCAAGCCTGCCAGCCCACCCACCCCCCACCAGACCTACTTCCTGTGTCTCCGGAGGGGCCAAAAGCCTCTTTCTTTGCCTGCTGTCAAGAAAGAGGCTTTTGGCCGCTCCGGCGCTATGTCCGACATGCCTCACCAGCAATAAACCTCACCGCACGTCACTGGTAGTAACTGTGAAAAGGATCTTGGAGTCCTAGTGGACAATCATTTAAATATGTGAGCCAGCAGTCTGCTGCAGCTGCCAAAAAAGCCGACACAGTTCTAGGCTGTGGGATAGAATCCCAGAGGGATAGAATCAAGATCACGTCAAGTGTTAATACCACTTTATAATGCCTTGGTAAGGCCATACTTGGAATACTGCATCCAGTTTTCATCACCACAATGTAAAAAAGATGTTGAGACTTTAGATAGAGTTCAGAGAAGAGCAAGAAAGATGATTAGGGGACTAAAACATATAAAGAATGGTTGCTGGAATTGGGTACATCTATAGTCTGATGAAAAGAAGGATTAGGGGTGATACGATGGTCGTATTCCAATATCTCAGGGACTTCCACAAAGAAGAGGGAGTCAAGCTATTCTCCATAGCACCTGATGGTTGGACAAGAAGCAATGGGTGGAAACTAATCAAGGAGAGAAGCAACTTAGAACTAAGGAGAAATTTCCTAATAGTTAGAACAATTAATCAGTCCAACACTGGATGTTTTTAAGAAGAGTTTGGATAACCATTTGTCTGAAGTGGTGTAGTGTTTCCTGCCTAAGCAGGGGGTTGGACTAGGAGACCTCCAGGTTCCCTTCCAACTCTGTTATTCTATTCTATTCTATTCTATTCTATTCTATTCTGTTCTGTTCTGTTCTGTTTTGTTCTAGTCTAGTCTAGTCTAGTCTATTCATCTACAAGTTGACTAACTAGTAGAAGTCAGCATGGACTGTCATCTCACCTACTCTTATGGCCCCTGGATGAAAGACAAATTAAGCCAATCTTCATTCCATCCCCCCCACCCCCAAATGTGGCTAGAATACTTTGTTTTGAAGAACTCTCATGTCATTTTAATTCCACCAGAACACAGCCAGATCAGAGCATTTCAGCAGAATGTCTTTGGCAGCATACTTTGTTCTGAGCTTGAAACAATATACATTTCCTATTTCTTAAAACTTCTACCATTAGTATAATAATATGCTGTGGGCATAGACACATTTACATGCTTATGAATCTGTTAAATCACCAAGAACCACCAGTCAATCAGCAGTTACCCTTCAGAGACTGATGTTGAATAGACATCTATCATCCAGTCAATGATGTTTAATGTGAAATTTCAGAATATCACTTTATACATCTGAAACATAAGTCTAGATGCAATTCCTATGTTCTCTTCTTCCCAGGAAACAAACCACCACCACCACCACCACCCAAAATACAATCACACCATTTGATATCTTTTTGAACTTTGGGAGTAAACTGTATACTTTTGTATAGTTCAGTGGAACTTTGTTCTGAGGGTTTTTTTTAAAACAGATAAAGCAACTGTGAATACTTGCAGATTGAAAGGATTTTACGATGGTAAGACTTTTCTGCAAAATACATAATAACAGAGAGGGAAGGGCCTTGGAGGCCCTCTAGGCCAACCCCCTGTTCAAGCAGGAGACCCTATACCATCCCAGACAAATGGCTATCCAATCTCTTTTTTAAAACCTCCAGCGATGGAGCCCCCACAATCACTGGAGGCAAGCCAGTGATTAATTGTTCTCATTATCAGGAAATGTTTCCTTTGTTTTAGATTGGGTCTCTCCAGTGGTGGGTTTCAAAAATTGTTCGAACCTACTCTGTGGGTGTGGCCTCCTTTGTGGGAGTGGCTTGCCGCCCATGTGACCGGATGGTAGTGGCTTNAGGGTTAGGGTTAGGGTTAGGTTTAGGGTTAGGTTAAGGGTTAGGGTTAGGGTTAGGCTTAGGGTTAGGTCAAGGGTTAGGTTTAGGGTTAGGTTAAGGGTTAGGTTTAGGTTAGGTTTAGGATTAGGTTTAGGGTTAGGTTTAGGGTTAGGGGTTAAGTTTAGGGTTTACAGTGTGCTTCTGTCTCCGCGCTGTTGTCGCCCTGTTGATGACGTCAGCGACTTGGTTTAGTCGGGCGCGGTTTTGTTGTTCACCCTTTTGTCGGTAAACCCACAGAGGAACATCACAGCATTTCATGAAATATATATTTCTTCCTTTAGACATTAATAGACATGTTCCAGATAGCATTTTATATAATTCAAGTATGAAATCCAAATTTACTCCTTTTTTAAAATTCAAGAATGAATTGCAATTCACAATGCTATCTAATGTTGAAAGGAATCAGAAAAATAGGCATGTTGTTGGAGCACCTTAAAGCTGCACTTGCCATGTTAACTTCCCTTTCTTAAAAAAAAAATAGTTTTTTCTTTCTTTCATCCCCCCCATTTTCCATATCTCTTCCTCGTTCATAATTTCCCAGAAAGTTGCTCAAACGATCCTCTTTTATGTTTGTGAGCATACAGAACTAAGGTATAATAGACAGTAAACCCGTGATGGTAATCATTAGAAGAATAGAAAGCATGGTTTTGATATAAGCAATTGTCACTTTTGGGTTTTTTTAGGATGGACATCAGTGCTGAACAAGGAAAAGGAAAAAAGCAGCCAAGATAAGAAGGAGACCAATGGCTGTGAGCAGGGAGAACAGAGTGTGGTTTGAAGAGCTGGTCACGACTCGTGTTTTTGTGGGTTTAATGATCCGCTCCCTCTGGGTGAGGATGGCATCCCTGGCTCCAGTCCACTTTCCTGGCCCTTTCAAACGGAACTGAAAAGGGTTGCAAGGGCCAAAACACATGGCCCAAGCCAATATGGGATCCCACAACAGCAGTGAGAACAGATCTGGCTTTGATCCCAAGGCTGCAGCAAGCTCGTCCAGGTAATCAATGAAATCGGTTTGGATTGACTGACTGCGGCTGGTTCCAAACCTTTGTGGGTGGGAGAAATAAAGAGACAGTAGTTGAGAGGGGTTACAATTCTGTAATGGAAATAATTATTCTCCTTCCAACATCAATTCTACCCTTCCCACTCACCACAAATCCTTGGTACGAAGTGAATTAAAATGTTATGGAATATTATTAAAAGTAATGCTGAAATGTCATGTTTTGATCACTTGATTGGGCTATTCCTATTTTAAAAAGTGAAAACCCTCAATCCTACATTTTGTATTTTCTTTCTTCCCTGCAGCATTTTGTGTCTGAACAGAAATAGTCGCTAAATAAAATTCTAGATGATAAGAGTTAGAAATAAGAAAACCAAATAATAATGCTACTATCCAGCTCCCCTCTGATATTTGGTTTTACATCATTGACCTGAAAACATTCTTAATTATTTCATGGTGAGCAAATAAGTATGTTTATAATATTTTAATGTTATAAATCCACAGCAAAGCATGTTTCCTGATATTTCTCTCAAGTTAAGCTATTTTAAAAAAATCATTGCCCACTGATTTATAGCAGAATTTATGAACATATCATCATGTTTCAGTCCCTTGAAATTTGTTCCCATTTGGGAAGCTTTATAAGATGGAGAAGTGTCTCCAAATAAGAAATATCAATGTTCTTTAGGAATATAACTATCCAGTCCTAATCATGCTAATGCCCAAATGTCAAATTGTGTGTTGTGATGTCACAAGGCAACTTTTGTTTTTTTCTACTTTTACTTTTTACTTCTACTTTTTTTTCTACTTTTCACCATGCATGATGACATTGCATGCAAATATATAATGGACAATGTTTGCACTGTAACCATTACAACAGAAGTTTCATTACTTGCTGCCTGTTACCCTCTCTACATATGCCAATGCCTAGGAGAGTTCTCTTACCACTTAGTCCTCTTCTCATTTCTTTTAATAGTATCAGCCATCATGGCACGCTCTGAAGGCAGAAGGCTTAACCCTAGGGGGAGAAAAAGTTTGAGTCTGAACAAGCCACTTATGCCTCTCAAAAAACAACATAGCAGGATAGTCATCTCAATATAGTTCATTCCAATTTCATATAAGGCATACAGATGCACAAGCTTAATTGGTTTATAACGCACTCTTGCCATCCAAAAAGATAGAATCCTATTTTTCTTCCCAGTGATATAAAAATCTTGGATGTGGTTGCTATTGTTTTTATAATCATTATCACTGTCATCTACTTTTTCTTATAATTTTGATAACTAATGTAGAGATTATAGGCCATTCTTTTTAGAGTATGTAAAGTGGGTGACAGTAGCAGAGAAAAATTTTTAATTTCACTTCCTCTTACCATTTCTTCAATTTCCCCATACTCTATGTGTTGTGGCTCAGCAGGAGCCGTTGGAGCTGCCACCAGACTCCGACAGCGAGGGGCCCTATGAGTCGGCTCTGGAGGATGTGGAGGACCCTGGACAGGGTTCCGACTCCGAGCAGGGCGCAGAGAGGCTGGTTGGCCACCAGGAGGTACCTGAGCCTTGGACCAGTGGGGAGGAGACAAGGGATAGTGAGCTGGATGTTCTACCAAATAGGTGCGAACTGGTAGGAACCCACCTCTGGGTCTCTCCTTGATAGGTTTCCATCTGTTACTTCTTGTCCTTCCTTCTGGTGCTTTGGAGAATAGGTTGACTCCTCTGTGGCAGTCCTTCAAATATTGGAACACTGCTATTATGTCTTATTTTCATTAGACTAGACGTACCCAGTTCCTGCACGGAATGGCTATTCATTCATATGTTTTAGCCTCCAGCCCCCTAGCATCATTGATGTTCTTCTCTGCACTCTTTCTAGAATCTCTGATTTAATTTGATTTAATTTAATTATTCCATTTAAAACTATTCTGCGGTGTTCTGAGTATTTCAGATCTTTTTGGAAATCGGGAAACTGGGAGGCTGGATCATACTTATTTGTAATGAACTGTCAGCCAATAAATACTAATTCTTTTTTAGTAATACTTGTGCCCAGAGAATTGGCAACTAGTTAGCATTTGGTTGCTGACCAGTAGTAGCTCTTCAGAGAAACTGAAGAGGAAATAATATTTGATGAACTCATGTTTTTGCTCGCTATGCCTGATTTCAGCCTCCTAAAATGATTGATGTTGTCATGTTAAGATTCCTGATATTTGGTTCCTTTGTTCAGTCTAATCAATATTGCTATAATCGGAGAATTTGGGTTGGGAGGCAGAGCAGCTAGTAGGGTGGAGGCTACCTATTAAGGGAAACAAAATCTGTATAAAACCAATTGAAACACAGGAAAACAGGATTTTCTTGTTTTCCTAAGCTGCAATGTCATCTGATGAGTGTGTATGCATCTCATTTTGATCTGCCCAACAATCTGAAAATTCTCTTACTGAAGGTGATTGAAGAATCATCCTCTTTAAACATTTCGTTCCCACTACGTATTGTGCTCTCTCAGTTAAGAAGTAAAAGATCTTTATTTATTGGTCCATGATTTATTGTATAAAGACAAATTCAGTGATTTTGCATAAAATATTAAGCCACACTTCATACTATACCAAGCATGATGGCAAATTTCGTATAAAAGCTAAGCTCCTTGAGCAAGGCCCCACAGAGGCGTGACCCGACAAAAGGGTGAATGACAAAACCGTGCCCGACTAAACCGCGTCGCTGATGTCATCAACGCGGCGACAACAGCCAGCGTGGAGAAAGAAGGGCGCTTTAAATAG